TCTCACCCCAGCCACCTCTACTTCCTGCCCAGCCACCTCTATATCTGAAGGCCTGGTTCTCACAAATGTCAAACAAGAGGTCCGGTTCTGGGTGGCGATATCATCTCACTGCCTGCTGCCACCTTCCATCTACCTGAGGGCACACTTTGGCCGATGGTAGTCCATGCCCCAGTAAGAAAGGCCGGCCTATACCAACATGGCCACAGGACACGCCCCTCCTACTTACCTGAGTGTTATTCAGTCCCATCCCCCCCAACTCCACTGGGATCTGCAGGCCAAACGCTCCCAGTTCCTTCAGTCCCGCCATGGACTTGTCATCCACCCTCTGCAGGTCATCATTCAGCGCCGGGTCATTCACCTCCTGGGGGGACCAACCAGAGATCAGAACCAACCACCCAATGCAAGACCCAACCAGAGATCAGAACCAACCACCCAACGCAAGACCCAACCAGAGATCAGAACCAACCACCCAACGCAAGACCCAACCATGGACAACCAGAGATCACAACAAACCACCCAACGCAAGACCAAACCAGACGCAAGACCCAGCAATGGACAACCAGAGATCAGAACCAACCACCCAACGGAAGGCCCAACCAGAGATCAGAACCAACCACCCAATGCAAGACCCAACCAGAGATCAGAACCAACCACCCAACACAGGACCCAACCAGAGATCAGAACCAACCACCCAACGCAAGACCCAGCAATGGACAACCAGAGATCAGAACCAACCACCCAACGCAAGACCCAACCAGAGATCAGAACGAACCACCCAATGCAAGACCCAACCAGAGATCAGAACCAACCACCCAACGCAAGACCCAACCAGAGATCAGAACCAACCAAGACCCAACCAGAGATCAGAACCAACCACCCAACGCAAGACCCAACCAGAGATCAGAACCAACCACCCAATGCAAGACCCAACCAGAGATCAGAACCAACCACCCAACGCAAGACCCACCCAGAGATCAGAACCAACCACCCAACGCAAGACCCAACCATGGACAATCCAACTTACCTGGAAGAAGCGAGAAACGGGACCAACCAACTCACTGAGGAACTGAGACTGGTCCTCGCTGAGCACTGTGGGCACAAAGACAAGACCGGGGGGTAAGAGGGCATCACAGGGGGATTATGGGTAAGCAAGAGATGAAGAACCAAATCTTACCAGAGGGGAAGGGGAAGACCTGCTCTGTGTGTATGAGTCCATTGAACATGCCGACCGCAAATGACCGAGACTCCTAGAGAGAGGATATGAGGGCGGAGTCATTATACGAGGGCGGAGTCATTATACGAG